TGTACGAATGGTTTGGACGATGGGAGAAGCTGAGTTCCCAAATATACAAACACGTCCTGGAACCCTCCGCAGTGGATGTTGTGAGGATTGCCAAGGCCGCAGGCGCTTTCACCGGCCCAGACGATCGAACGAGCTTGCGCAATACTTCTGGAGACGGTTCAGATACGGGCCTTAGCAATGGTGTCGGAGCTAATCGAGCATCCATGGCTCAGTTCTAAACATGCAAGAAGCTTGGAAACCTTTTTTTTCGCAAGGAAGCAGAAAACAAAAAAAGCGGATTATTGTGCCATTAGTTTGATACATTTTCAATTTTTACTTGTCAATCTCTGCCCGAGAACGTTTCTTTCTGCGACATCGTTCCTCTGCTCTCTCCTTCCACTGCCTCCTTCCCCGTTCACTAGAACTTGATGATAGTGAAGAATGAACATCGCTAGTCGGAGCAACGACCTTCTCCTTCAATAACTGTTCTGTTACCGCTGGACGCTTGTTGGAGTCCAGCATCTCTTTTTTTTGTGGCTTAACCAGTGGAAGACATGCAGGGCAAAGCCGCAACTTGACGAGCTCTTTCTTCTTGACTCCATGTTCTTGATAGGCAAACGGAACTTCAAGCGTTATGAGCGGACCATTGTTTCTTTCTTGCTGCTTGGTACAAAGCTTGTTCCCACATGTTCTTTCTCCCCTCCCATCCACTACCTCTTGCCGGGTTCTCCAACGCAGCCCTATTTGTCCGGGACCTCGAGAGAGATCAGCCAAGGCATATTCTTTGTATAAATTATCATGATACGACTGGACCATGCGATCTTGCCATGTGGATTTCGGCGCTTCGTGGTCAAGTTCTTGTGGGCGTGAAGGGGTGGAAGAAACGAATAGGATTCTCTCAGAGCCTCACGATCTGCCTCTGATACGACATTTTTGACTTTGGGAGGTGCTGAAGGCTTCAGGCTAGACTGTCGTTTCGACATGGTGGAGCATTGTCTAATGGTCTGAAACGATGATGTTGTCATGGTGCGTTGCTGGACTACCGGTACATCTACAGTCGTACGTTATTGTTAGTACGAAGTATGATACCCGTTGGATGATTCTGATTCTGAAGTCGCGATACACTCACCATCGTCTTTTCATTCAGTTCAAAACCCCCGTTTCGCGACAGACGAGGGGATCCAATCCGAGAGAGTACCGTAACTCACTGTCATGTCGTCTCCTACTACGAGTACGGTACTTGACGAGTACCGTACTATCTACTATCGTCGTACAAGTAGGAAATGATGAACGTTTTCGATTTTGATGATCCACCAAACTTCCTACTAGCCAGAGCTAGATCTAGGCATGAACATGGATGTTATTCTTTACGGTTCAGTGACGGCATTCAAAAACTTGAGAGCGAACAATGCGTTTCTACCTACTACTGCGAGTAGTACATGAGATGTGTGCAAAAATAGTACTTCGAGTATCAGATCTTTGTCCGAGAACCTGGCAATAGCGGCCCATTTTGGCGTTAGTGTCGTCGTCCGACCAGCAATTTTGACCACATTGAGAGAACCGAGCCACCAAAATCTTGCATATCTACCGAGCTGTCGTCTTGTCCAAAGATATTCTCGAGTGTGAAGGCCAGTCGTACACCTCCCGCAATGAGCCTTTCATTGACAACGGGGATGCGAGTGATATAGTAGTCTTCATCAAGGACGTCGCCTTCCGAAACTTCCACTGGTTGGGTGTGCCTGTCTTTCCAGGGTTCGTTCTTTGTGTATGCATACTCCAGGGCATAGCTCCACGACTCCTGGCCCCACTGAATGACGCAAGTATTGTTGAGAGCTGCATTATTGCCACAAGAGTTATAGCGATCGACCCACTCGGGGTGTTTCTGAAGCAAGGCCTCCAAGGCATCTTCCATGTTCGATCGTTTATTATCATAATCTCGTTCAAGAGTCGTTTCAATCAAAGCTGTGTCCCAAATTGAATGCAGATTCCACGAATGGTGATGAGGGTGGTGGCGCTGCAATGAAGCAGGATTTTCGGTGAATCGATTGGCATGCCGCACATGAATCAGGTGTTGCTTTTGTAGGAGATGATATTGCACATCGATGTCGTTTCCTCCCTTGTCGGTTGTTCGAGAGGCATGGAGTGGTTGGTGAATATCACCAATGAAACTGGATTTGAACAATATTAGAAACAGGAAATGAATTGTGATCAGAACAAACGCCACACATGCAGAGTATGCTGTGGATCACTCACTGTGTAAGAAACTTGAGAGACTGCTGCATTCCATCAATACTTTTAAAGGTCTCCCCTTTCTCGCTGTTACCAAATCTGAGGCGACGTTGCGGGCTTCTCACCAATACTTGTTTCTGAGCATACACAAGTTGTGTCGAGTAGTTCAAAATGGCTCCCGCCACACAAATGTCTTCTGGGCAATCTCGGTCGTATTGAAAGTCACAGTCGCAGGATGACATGGTATCATGAGGATTTGGTAGAAAGTGACACCCACCAGCAATGAGATTGTCCCGGATATCGATATAGTGGAGTTCGGCACTCCAGGGAAGAAAGTGTCTCACATGATCGGCCCAGTTGGCCACAGCTGCCAAGGGCGAGCCCGTTTGTTCGATCAGAGTCGTGTTGGTAATGTTCAGGAGGGCTTCAATCTTGTGCTGAGTTTGTAAGGAGAGACGATGCCACGCCAAATTGGCCACGATTTCATGTCCCAATTCACCCCAGGCAACACCGCAAGATGGAAGACTTGCAACAACAAGGCAGAAGAGGGCCAAACACAAACATGTTTGAATTGAGTCGAATCGACCGTACCAATTGTTCGTCATCATCATGCCTCTAATTCTATAAGAGAAGTAACACTGCCGTGGCGGGCAGATGTTGAAATTGAGAAGGGTTAGGGATGGTATTTGTTCCAAGTTCCAACACTCGTCTCCAAAATAAAACGATTGATTATTGATTCAACCTCCTCCTTCGATGATAGAGCGAATTTGACCAAGGGCTGACGTCTTTGATACAATCAATCGAAATTGACGAAGATTATTCCGTAATACTGAAGTACCTAATCACTTATGTTAAGTTGCTCACGGGTCTGCTTGAAAATGATGATGTTGGGCCGTAGCAGAGAAATAATTCCTTGGTTTGAATTTGAAAAACTTTCGGTGTTGTGATGTTCTCTCCCAGAGGAACAAGAGTCCGTGGCTTTGCTTTTACTACGGGTACTGCCGGTAGGTATCATATAGGTACCGGTACCTTACCTGTACCTGGTACCAGGTACGTTTTGAAGTTCTACGTAAGATAGGCACAGTAGTATACTGTCATATATAGGTACGGTAGTTTGGTACCTCTATTCCGGAAACACTGTGGCTTTGCTTTTTATTTACTACGGTACTTGAAGTTGTACGTAAGATTGGCACAGTAGTTTGGTACCTCTATTCCGGAAACTACCGCAGTATAAAAGAGGGGGTATTTCTTATGATTCCAGAGACAGAAAAGAAATTCTATTGCAAGGTATACCAACTAAAAGATGTCACATTGGAAGTAAGCTCACCTGTCTGGTCCTCTTACGGCGCAAATCATGAAACAGGATTCCATCCGCTCAACATTCTATTGCTCACCACTTAGAACTGGAAAGGCGAAAAAACTCATGAATGAGGGAAAGTCCAAACCAGTGAGTGTCAGATATGGTGGCCTTCCAAAATCAAGGCTAGGAAGGCGGCAATAACCTCATTGACATGTTGGGTGTGTTGATATTTTCTAATGTTGTAACCCCATAGGGCGGATTATAGTATGTGTAGAAGAAACCTTCCATGGCAAGCTCCAGTAGTACTTCCAATGAAAAAAATAGTACTGTCCCTCTGCACTTGACACTTGGCTGAGTTACAATGACATGTCATAAGCAAAAATGCCAGTGCTCACTACAACTCAATCAGGAATCATCATGCGAAGACATTCTTCCTCTTCTAACATGATTCCTTATCCATGAACAAAAGTTTTGCTGTCACTAAGATCAAGAGGTTCATCATACAGTGGTTGAAATCGCAATCTGATCAAAGTTCACATTGAGGTTCATCGTACAGTGGTTGGCTGGCGCTACATCATTTTCCAAACTTTCGCCACACAGGACAACAGTCCCTCCTAGACAGAGAGTAATGACACCAGCAATGAAGTAGGTTCACGGAGGCCAAAAAGTCTCTAGAAAACCGCACAAGCCTCCCACCATAGCCATCACAAGTGGACTGACGAGCCAAGCTTTTCCTTTTGTATGTCGTAACTTAAAACGTAGTACGTGTATTAATAGTTGTTTCCACCAGAAGGAAGACGTGTCCCCTTCTGACTAAATAAGATCAGCACAAGCTTTACGGTCGGACACTGATCCAACCTTATGATTCCTATTCCATGAACAAAAAAAGATGACGAGTTTCATTCTTGAATTTTGTTGTCAAAAGGAAAAAAGTTGCAACGCTCAAGTGGTTGAACTCCCAAGCTGGTTGTGGTCTTATTCAACAGGAGGGACGTTCCATCTTGTAGCAGACTTGAACCTCACGAGATGTGACTCAACTTGTTCGAAGATCGTGTCGATAAAGAAAAAGTTGGTAAAGGGAAGCCAAAAACGGTGAAGAAGTTGGTTGAGTAAAGTCATAACCCACCCATCGACCCTCAAACGAGCACAAGTGTAGTTCCCAACAGCTCCATCTATGGTACGTTCGTTCACTGTTTTACTCTAGTCGTAAGCCGTGAGACGTGCGAAGCGGCAAGTTGTAATAGTCCTCGCAAAATATGTCAAACGAGTGTAGTTCCCAACAGCTCCATCTATGGTACGTTCGTTCACTGTTTTACTCTAGTCGTAAGCCGTGAGACGTGCGAAGCGGCAAGTTGTAATAGTCCTCGCAAAATATGCCAGCGAGACGTTCGAAACGGCAGCAGCAATGCATCGGAACGTCCTCGCAACGAGTGGCAGCGATCACCATACAACAGTTTCCGTCTTACTTCCGTAGGATTACTTAACGTAAAAGTACTCTCGGTGGGGGTCGAACCCACGACCTTGGGTTTATTAGACCCACGCTCTAACCAACTGAGCTACGAAAGCTGGGTTGCGATACTAATTCCTGGTCGAAATTGCCGCTGTCACCGTACATACACGACAAACGTCGGCATCCAACTTTTCTCAATGGACACCCGTTGTCTGACGTTTGCATTGAACAATCTAGACAGCCGAGAACCTCAGACAAACTTCCGTTCTATTGAATCTTCTGGGCAAAATTGGTCCAGACTAACCTATGGAGTGATATTTGTAGAAGTAACCCTATAGTAGGGACAGTGACTAATCAATTGTCAGGGCTCTCTTGTCTGATCCCAGTATTTAGCAACCTCATTAGCCTTGAAGGACGATTAAAAAATGGCTGAGGATGATCATTGCATTCCCGAGGTCCCACATACCATTCTCATTTTTATCCCCGTAAACTTCAAGCAATACAATTGGTATGAATCTGACTTACAGTTATGTCAAATAGTGCAAAGTCTTTGACGTTTTTTTGATTCTGCTCGCTGGAAACTAGAAAAAAAATATAACAATGACAACAACATTCTGAATGCATAGAACTCCCGGTGATGGGTCACCTTTCTGCAATTAAAAGAGTCTACCCTGCGAAAACCCACTACCCACTCACATCCTTCAGGATAGTGATGCATATGCTTGTAATCCACTTGATATTAGAGGAACAAGGGTGAAGGTGAAGCTGTCCCTTTACTACTAGTCGTACAACTTGCTATAAAAGGAGGACACACTGTCAAAGTAACCTTTGCTAATGCAAGATCGCAGCTGTGGTTCAAACAGCCATACTGGGTGTCTACATGTAAATGAAGACCCTCAGGGCATCTATGGTTGATGCGTCATTCACAGTGTTTCCTTGGTATGTAGTACTCCGAAGGGGAACACAAAATCACAAAGCCCTGGAATGGTGAGAGCTCACTCGGATTGTGCAACTTTTGATATCTGGAATATGGCCGTGTGCTGGTGATAGAATCCTGGAACAAAGAGGATCTGTGGTGGCTGCATCCATGAAAGTATCTGAGGTGTCTTTGCTTTCAGCAGTGTGGGTTCTTATGGTTTGAAGAAAAGAAAAAAGATCTAAAAGTGAAAGGTAGAGTAGAGTGAAAGGTTATCAAATGGCTGACCCAACCTGTTGATTCAGTAGTGGACATTCTTACCGTGGCCTGTTACCGGTAGTTGCGGTTGTTTGATTTTATTATGACAATTTCCCCCTTTGAAAGTGAAGCTGCAACAACCAATCTGTACGACTCCTCTGTTTGTCTTGCACAATCAGTCCAGACCATAGCATCTCTACTGACACTATTTTTCATTTTGTCCCTGTGGTACAAACAGCCAGGAGATAAAGAATGTGGGAATCGGCAAGAACCATCCAGACTCCAGATGTGCAATGTGTGTGGCATGGTGGCAAAATACTGGACATATTATGGTTTGATTTCGAATCATGTCCGAAGGATCAGACCGTAGGAAAGGAGAGTGGGATCTACATACTTAGTATAGAGAAGATCCTTGGCTCTCCAACTATTGAACCTACAGTCGTCCTGTCATCCTCAATCCTCCCTTGACACAATATTGAGAAACATCACGACAAAACTCGTACTTGTTTGCGTTGAAAATTTCCTCATTCCATCTTAGCATGATGAAGCTCTCAGCTAAAGATGTTTTATCCCTTGGAACCACAATTTTGATGACAATCTGATCCTATCAGGTTCTACTCCGCTTGTTGACCTGTAATCAATGTACCCAGCGTTGGAAGAGCATAATAAGCAGATCTTTGACTCTTGTACAGCGACAATCTCAAAATGGTGATGAGGTAGTTGCATCCAGATCCTAACATTTAGTATTTTCGCACAGAGAATGTAGTTGTGGTCACGATGTTTGTTTTTATCATCTTTTGCTTCTTGGAAAACTTGTATCAGCAAATGGGCGGGTCTCCAAGCAGCATCGATACGGCACGTTTGCCAAAACTACTGAAAGTTTGGGCAGGATAATAATGAAAAGTATGTGGTCGAAGCTCCTCATTCTTATCCGAGGTGTCAGTGTTTTGGGGGAAGCTCTTGTAGTAGTACAGTCTAGCATAATTCTTACTTTGGCACGAGTGTTTGCCTACTAGAGGTTTGTTGAGGCTGCCTCTAGTACTTGGGCTTACTTGCAGGATACCATGGTTAAGTAGCAACCGCATCAGCCCTGGACGCTGAGAAAAACAACATGCAGAGAACTACTCCAAACGCAATGACGATCCCAGAATATGGGCCTCCTGGACCGTATGAAATACAAGGGTAGATACTGAAGAGAGTATTAGAATACCGGTACGGTACTTTATTTCTACTTCGAGGATTATTTATTTACTGTTATTATAGTATACGTAGTATTATAATAGTATATTCGAATATTTTAGGGCTCTACGGTAGCTTCCAACGTACTACTTCGTGTGTCATACCATGGGGTAGTAAAAGTATGTACAGTAGTACATTGACTGTGACCGTGAATAGGTATGTACGCACCATATCTTGATAGATAGTCGGTACGATCGTAACTACTCCGAGTATTCACCAAAGAAGAAAGAAGAAGAAAAAAAAATCATTTTCGTTCTTCTTGATAACGTCGTATTTTTCTTAAACGTTTTGGACCGTCCTTCCTTAACTGCTGCTACGTTGTGTGTTTGGCAATGGTCTCATCAGCTCGTCGCCGACTCTAACGCCCAACGGGAAGCTCATCACAGAGAGATTGCTGTCCGTCATCGAGAAATGCAGCCCAGCTTTTCTGAATTTCCACCGCACGTGACGGAACGACAACAACGAATTTTGGGATGGCCGACCGACACCTTAGCGATTGATTTTCTCACCGAGGACGATCATCCTGTTCCCGAAGTTCCACATACCATTCTCATTTTTATCCCTGGTAATCCTGGGCAATACGATTGGTATGTATCCGACTTGTGTCAACTGGTGCAACGTCTCGGACGGGGATTTGCTGCTCGAGCCATATCACATGCTGGACATTCGCTGTCTGGTCCAGAAGGAGAGAAAAACGACGACGACAATGGCATTCTGAATGTGGAGGAATACTCCAAACGCAACGTCGATGCCAGTATCTCTACACCGTGGACCGTACAAGGTCAGGTACAGCACAAATGTGCATACATGGACCAACTCATGACTGGGTTCGAAACAACACCATTGTCAACAAAATCGTCGCCACCACCGCAATTCATTTTTTTGGGACATTCCTTTGGGTGTTATGTGGTCCAGCATCTATGCTTGCTAAGGCCTATCATTTTTGAACGAACCATCGGTTTTTTGCATCTCATGCCGTTTATCCGCATGCGTGCCGACTCGTACGATCAAGCCAAGCTGGATTGGGGCGCACAGCATCCAAACGCATTGATCGCTGCAGGCACCATGGTATCGCGGACGTACAGAATATTACCCAAGGCATGGGTCAATGCGTTTGTCAAGCTTGGCGTTCGGGATGACAGGGCAAGAGACATTGCGGTACGGTTGTTGCGGCAGCCAACCTTTGTACGAAGTTTTTTCACCTTGGGTACCGAGGAGATTCGAGATATTCCCCGACACATCGATGTGAGTATTGTTATCACTACTATTGCCACCACTACTACTTGGTTGTTTATAGAGCTCAAAACAGGAGGTGTAAAGAAGACCAGGAAAAGAGAATGATGTACGGGCGAGTAGTGTCTAACTGTATGTTTCGATTTTGTTTTTTTGATTCCCTCTTCCTCTTCCCCGTTCATGTAGATCCAAACCCTCAATATCCTGGCCAAATCCCGTCCCATTTTCATGCTGTTTGCCGGTCAAGATCAATGGGCACCCATGTTTCACATGACTGATATTGCTCGGTTGCAAGCTCAAACCATGCTGTCGTCCAACATATTCATGACGTACCTGCCAGAATTGCGACACGATTATGTCAGTCACAAAGGAATGGGTTCGAAAGTCATTGGATGGTGCTTTCAATGCATTTCCAGTATTGCACTGAAAAACACAGCATCCCTGTTGGAGCAACAACAGCAGCAGCAACAGCAGCAGCAACAGCAACAACAAAGAGAGTCTAAGAGTGTTACAGTTCCAAACAAAACTAACTGTAAACTACGATCGAAATTATAATAATAATAAGGGGAAATTGCAATCTCGACACCGAAGCCTTATCTCGACACGGGCATTATTATCTCGACACGGGCATTATTATCTCGACACCGTGCCACTATTATCTCGACACGGGCATTATTATCTCGACACCGTGCTACTATTATCTCGACACCATAAATTCCCCTTTGTTATTTCGACACCATGTACGTCATTATTTCGACACCGAAAAAAACCCTCTTGTTATTTCAACACCGTAGAAAAACCCTCTTTGTTATTTCGACACCGTAAAAACCCCAATTTTATATTTCGACACTGTGGCCACTGTTATCTCGACACCATCCTTTTTACCTTTTTACTACATCGACACCATAACACGAGTACTGTTACTACCACAGAGTAGTTACCACATCTATTACTGCCACTACAACTGTCACTACTGCTGTTCCTTCTGCTACTACCAATCCTACTAACACTATTGAACACAGTAATACTGAAATCTTATTATGGTAGTGATGGTTATGTATTGTTCAAGAAAGGTCAAGCTCAGCTGGATGTTGTTTCTCAAGTTGCTCTCTTGCAACACATGTTTTAACGTTGTGGCCTCTCTTCTTGCATCTGCTACAAACAATGGGTGATTTGTCTGGATCATGGGCAAAACGAGATCGTTTCCTGATCCTTTTTTTCCTTGGTCGTCCACTTGACCTTTTTGTGCGATTGGGTGGCAATGTAACTCCATCCTGGTCCAAGACATCCAAAGAAACAGGAACAATGTTTTCCTTCAAGAGTTCGTTAATTGTTTCATACTTGTAATGTTCGCTAACGTGATTGTCCAAGATGTATTGCATTGTTTTCATCTGAAATACTCTGTAGTAAGCAACCGCATCAATGCAGGGAATTCCGTGCTCCTGCCACTTTCCACATTCACATGTCTGC